AGATGGACGCCCAGATATTTTCTCCAATCCTCCCAAACTCACAAAACTCCTCCAAGTAAGAATTATGCACAAGAGATAAAGCAATGGCAACTGTCTCCACAACGCCAAGATGTCTAGAAGTTCACCAAGGTGACAACCTGATCAATTAACAGCAGAGAAGGGTAATCTCTTCTCCCTAACATGCTCACTCAGAACCCCCTTCCCTCAAGAATGCCCATATCATAGAGGGCAACACAACCAAACCACAGGTCTGTGTTCCAGGATCCACTCACAAATTTCCCCACTGCTGCTGCAGGTTCTGTCAGCAAACACTGACCCTGCCATAGCCCAACTATTCTATGGCAACAAGCAGCAAAATTCAACTCTGCCCACCCACCCCTTTGTTGCTTTTGCTGAGGCAGGGAGTATAGGAAAGCAGGAAGTATGATCTATCTGGGCCAGTAGCACCTTCAACAGTGCTCAGGCAGAAGACTAATAATCAGAAACAGCTGCGAAGGGTGCTAGCATGTATGTGAGCTACACCATGCCTGAAGTAAAAGGGACTGTCATCTTACCGGGTTCCTTTCTTTCCTCCTAGAATTTACTTGGGGGCAGAGACTGAGGTCCATGAAAGGTGAATTCCCCAAGTGGGAGAAGAATGAGGTAGCTTTGAGGTCTAGCCTTTGGGAACCTACTATCAAAGTGGGAAGAATCAGAAAACGGGTAGGGAAATATAAGAACAAAAGAATGAAATTACCAAAGTTCTCAGAAGGAATAAAACAATTAAAAGCCTCAAGCATGAGTTCTTCTTTGTTGTTGTTCAGTCATTTTTCAGTTGTGTCTGAGTCCCCATTTGGGGTTTTCCTAGTAGATACTGGAGTGGTTTGCCATTTCCTTCTCCAGTTTATTACATAGATGTCAGGAAACTGAGGCAAACAGGGTTAAATGACTTGCCCAGGGTCACACAGCTAGTTAGTGCCTGAGGCCACATTTCAGTTCAGGTCTTCCTGACTCCGGGCAGGCACTTCATCCGCTGTGCCACTAGCTGCTCCTCTCTTCTTTATAGTAAAGATCAAATATTCCATTATGATGTTCAAATTTCTTAGGGCATTAAAAAAAAAAACAAGCACTCCCCTACACTTAATATCTCTCAGTTTGATCCGCTCCACCTTCCCCCCAGGACTGAAGAGTCATTTTAGATCGTTAGTTGAGAGAACCAGGAAAGAGGGTCAGTCTAGCTTTTAAAGTACTCCATTTGATCAACTAAGTGTTCGTTCATACGCCATTTTGTGAGTGGACATAAGAGGCAGAGCTGGGATTTCCAAAGGGAGAGGTCTCCTGGTGTCATGGGTCATGTCTGCAGACACTAATTAACCAACTAGATTTAGAAACCAAAAAAAGCCTGTACTGCAGTTGTGTCAGCAGGCATTCTGCTGGGGCTTTTTTTTTTTCCTTTTCGTTCCTAACTTAAAGACAGATCTACCCAATGAACCTCTGTGAAAGGGACACAGCTAGGACCCAGGCATGAATCATACAACCCAGAGCAGAGACAGGGTTTTGTTGTTGTTACAGACGGGAAGACGTTGCTGAGATACCAGAGGAAGAACGTGTTAGCATAGGCTAGTCCGCCGGTGGGTGCCACCTAACCTTGTGTTATTGAAAGTCTGGTGGTATTGGAAACAAAAGACCTAGGTTCCCAGGCCACCTCTCTATTTTGTTTTAGTGGCATGACCTTGGTCATATCCATTCAGTCCGCTGTCCAGCCTCAGTTTCCTTATCTGTAAGATGAGGATAATACCTGTAATACCTACCTCACAGAGTTATCATGTTTCAGATGAGATAAAAATGTAGAAGTGTTTCATATAAATGAAAACTACTATTAATTATTGAAAGGCAGTATAGTGTAATTATTAAAGAGCCAGCCCTGGAGTCTGGAATCTTGCCTCTGCCAATGAGCCTGGCCCCCAGACAGCTCTCTAAAACTCTCTAAGTTGCAAAGCAGGTGCCCACCTGCATTGATGGAGTTTCCTCATTGGGAATTTCATTTGGAAAAGGAAATCCCAGATCTGATTTTTTTAAAATCAATATTTTTATTGAGGGGGGAAATGGCATGCTACCATGCCTCTTAATATTTCATGACTTTCCTTTTTCTTTTCCTCTCCATCATCACTCTCTTCTGTCTCCTGTCTTTCTTTCCTTTTTTTGATTATTTTCTTTTATTCCTTAATCATCTCTGGTACCTAAGGCACAGTGCATCCAATGGCACCTTCAAATATTCATAACTATCAGAAAATGACCAAGAATACACCATTTGACCAATGGCCTACAAAGAAATCTGCACTTCACTTTTCCACCCCCAAATTAATACATTTAAAGCTAGAGTCCTTAGGGTTTGTAACACTGGCACCATTCTAATGCTTGGTCATGACTAACACTTTTATTTTTGATTATTTCACTTATTTTTGCTTTGTCTTCCTAATACGTTTGTAACTCAAGCTCCATGAAGGCAGGAGCTTATGATTATCTTGCATTCTACATAGCTCCCTGCTTACTACAAGGTACTTAGTAATTTTTCTGCTCCCATGCTGTTGGCTGTGAAATTTAGAATATAAATTTCTTGAGGGTAGGAACTCTTAGCATACTTGCACACCGTGGTTATTTTTTAAATTTTGTTCATTTGAATCGAATTATTTACATCTTTCCATAAATCTGGAAAGCCCTCCCTTTACCTTCTCTCTCCATCTCTGCCTATTAAAATCCTACCCATTTTTCAAGGTTCACTTTAAATACTATCTCCACCATGAAGCCTTCCTTGATTCTACCACAACTGGAAATGACACCTCCCTTCTCAAAATTATCATATTACCTTCTTTGCATGTGTAATGAATTCATCATTTTCCATTTTACATAATAATAGTGACTGCCATGACAGACATAGAAGATAGAGAACTGGCAATGAAATAGAAGTGTGCTAGTAAATGTTTAATAACAGGCTTTGGGAGGTGGGGGGGTGATATTGATAAGTTTAAGCTGTATTATTAACATTATCTCTACTATTTTCTTAAGTCCAGCCTAAACAATCAATAAAACATTCATTCAAGCCCTGATTTTTAGCGTTTGTTGATTTCCAACATTAAGCCTATGAGCTGACTCCAGTTCACCCTTTCTTTGAAGCCAGGAAGACTTGGGTTCAGGCCTCATATCTGACATACAGACTGTGAGACCTTGGACAAGTCACTTAACTTCTCAATATCATAACTCTCAAAGACTCTAAGTTACAGAAAAGGTGTCGACCTACGTCAGAGGAAGTTTCTATTCTAAGTAATCCCCTATATCAATGAAACTACAATGCTAGTCTCTAGTCCTATTATGTGTGATTGTTATTCATATATAGGTCTCTTATCCCCTACAGATATTTATAACTTCCTTGAGGAAAAGATCATATTTTACTTATCTTTGTATCTCCTATCACCAAGCACACATATCTTTAATATGTTTCTTGAATTGAGTGAATGAATAGTATGACCAATAAATACTTACTGAATTGAATTTCCCTAAAGCATTTGAATAGGAATGCCTTGAAAGAGAACTGCCCCAACTCTCATTGATTTTTTTTATTTTTTTTTATTTTTTTTCTCATTGATTTTTTACAGCATATCAGTCACCAAACTGAGAGAGAGCTTGTCCCCAGAAGTCCTTCACCTGAGTGCAAAACTAATGGACTGGCTCTCTGACATGTGTTCTTTGAAGACTCTTTACCTAGAATTCAGAATACCCAAAAATAACTATGGTTCTCAGTGTGACATAAACCTGGACATGGTTGCTTATTTTGTCTTCCAGATATTTACTTGACTGGTTATACTAAGCCAATTGACTCAGGGCCAAAGAAAATTAGGGTAATTAAACATTTTATAAATGTTTCAAACCCCAATTCCCTGTGCTTGTATTGTTTCTTTAGAATCGTTATATCATGGGAAAAGCAGTTCAGTATTTGCTTTCTGGTCCTGAATATGCCACTTACCTTTGTGACGTTGGGCAAGTCACTTCCCCAAATAAGGCCTCAATTTCCTGAAATGAGGAGAGTTAGGTTAGATTGGGGTCCTTCACATTTTGTGCATCATGGACCCCTTTGGCAGTCCAGTAACAGTCTATGGCTACCTTCTCACAGAAATATTTTTCAATGCTTAAAATAAAATACATAGGGTTACAAAGGAAACCAAATGCTAATGAAGTTAAAGATGTAACTTTTTTCCCATCCAAGCCCATGGACTCCCTGAAATGTATTCACAAATCCTTTGGGAGTCAGTGAACCCCAGGTTAAAAGTCCCTGGAATAAATTGTCCCTAAGATCCTTTCCAGCTCTAAATCCATAATCCCTAGAATTAAAAGTGAATTTATCTAGCCCTAATGCCCACATTTTAAAAAGTATGGAAATCAAGAGATTATTATTATTATTAGCAATATATCTAGCATTTATGTAAAGCTTTAAGAATTACAAAGCATTTTATATATGTTATCTCATTTGAGAATCACAACTCTGTGAAGTAGGTAGTATTATTATCCCCATTTTACAGATGAAGAAAGTGAGCTAGACAGAGGCTAAGTGATTTGCCTAGGGTCATCTGCCTAGTGGTTTCTAAAGCCAGATTGGAAGTCAAGTCTTCCAAACTACATTTCTAGCTATCAACTGTACCACCTGCCTGCCTCTGAGTGTCTTAAATGACTTGTGAAAATTAACCTGATGAGAAGCTGGATCGACTGATTCCCATGACCAATTACACCTTTCCATCACATCATTATGTAATTGTGAACTTTGGGCAACTGACACATAATGTTATCAGATGTGTCATTACACTGAACAGAGAAAATGTTAGAAGGGAAGGTAAAAACATTGGAGACTGGAAAGAAAATTTTTATAGGACTGAAAATCTGGGGTATTGATCTGGGCAGCTTGTCTGAATACTATACTTTTATCCTGATCAATCACTGATTTTATGTTCTGTTTTGTTTTATCTTTGTAGATTGCCTCTTTGCTCAAGGACAATGACCGAATTCAATCAATCCAAACTGTCACACCCAATGACGAAGACAGTGACATCAAGAAAATTAAGAAGGTTTATGCAATTTTTCTTTATTTTTACATGTTTTGATATCTTACCATCCCTAAATAAACCACTTAGCATTTCCAGTAATCTCGAGTCCTCTCATCCCCAGCACTTTATTACATCTCCAAAGACCCATATCTCCCCTAAAAAAAGCCATTCACCCTCATCTCTTTCAATGCCTTCTTTGATTCCCAACAACTGGATGTTTTTTAAAAAAAAAACATAAAATCATAGAAGCCCAATCATACCTTGCATTTCTTTTTTTAATTAATGCATTTACTTTTTACATTCCTCTTCACCTTCACCCAATTAAAAAAAATAAAACCTTCATGGCAAGTAAGCACATCAAATAAAATGTTTGACATGTCCAAAATGTATGTCTTACTCTGTACCTTGAATCCATCCTCCTTCAGCCAAGCTTTGGGTAGTCAGTTTATAAAGTGCTTTCCTCATAAGTAAATAATACAAATATTAATGGCCCCATTTTACAGATCAAGAACCCTACTTAATCAACTAATCCAGGATCAAACAGCTAGCTTCTTAAATACAAACCACATTTCATTCTGATTAAGTTGGTGTGACACTGATATATTATAGATCAGAAAAGAACAGTCAGGAAATCCTCAAAATAATAGGGTATTTATTTACCCAATGTCTGATGGAATTTTTTTCCAATTGTCTCCTTGCATTTTTTCTGCTTTGTAATGGGTAGCGTGAGGAAGAGCACCAATGATGAGCCCATAGCTATGTAGAGTGAAGAAAATAGTATGCATCGGTGGAAAGAATCCTCCCTAGGCTTAGAGTCAGAGAACCTATGTTCAAATCTCACCTCTGACAATTTTACCACCTGTCCTATCTTAAGCAAGTCATTTAACTTCTCTGGGCCTCAGTTTCCTTATCTATAAAATTAAGGGATTGCACTAGATGGCCTCAGAGGTCCTTTTTGGCTCTAAATCTGTGGTCTTATGATTATAGGAGTTTTCCTGAATTGCTTTGTGGAGGTCCTTTCCATACTGAGAAAAATATACTCCTTTGGAACAGAATCATAACACATATTGGCCCATATGATAGAACTGGGAAGAACTTCAGCATCATCCACATGATGCTATTATTTTACAGATGGGAGGGATCTAAGGCCAGAAAAAGGTGAAGTGGCTTGCCTGAGGTTGCTCAGTGAAGTAGTTGCTGTTCAGTCATATTTCAGTTATGCCTGACTCTTTGTGACCCCATTTGGGGTTTTCTTGGCAGGGATACTGGAGTGGTTTGCCATTTCCTTCTTCAACTCATTTCACAGATGAGGAAACTGAGGCAAACAGGGTTAAGTGCCTTGCCCAGGGTCATACAGTTATTAAGTGTCTGAGGCCAGATATGAACTGAGGAAGAGGAGTCTTCCTGACTCCAGGCCCAGAAGAGTGGCAGAGCTAAAGCTAAAACCCAGCTTTCCTGACTTTTCAGGGCTCTTCCTGCTATGCCACTGAGATATATGAAAACAAGGATGGGTAGGGAGTGGGGGGAGACAGTCTTCAAATGTTCCTGTATATGAATTAATTTTTTCCCTGGTTCTTGCTAAAATTAGCCAGCAAAAAGGAATCAGACGACAGACATCAGAGTTAAATATTCCTGCTCATTTCCCTGTAGAATCAGTAGGCAGAAGTTCAAGATATGCATGTACTCAATTTCATCTGAGGAGTCCCAAGGATGAGATTAAGGCAATCTGCCTTATCTTTTCTAATTGGATAACTCCTCATCATCGTGATGAATATTAATTACAACCTTCTGGGTCTTTGAGACTCTCACCGTATTTTTCACTACTTCCTTCTTGTTGCAGCCAGAATGAGATATCCCCAATCTTAGTCTGTATTTCCATGTCTAGTGGATACTCCTTTCTCAACTCCACTTGTTGAAATGGTCAAGGAAGGCCTAGCTTTGTTGTCCTCTTCCTCTATGATGCATTCTCTGATTCCCTAGTCTGAAAGTGATATCTTTTACCTCAGTCAAGATATTTCCTTTACCCCATCACAATCTATCATACTTATCATACTTGTGACAATTTATCATACTCATCTGTGTATATATTATATCTCCCTTATTAGATCGTAAGATACATAAGAGTGGAGATTATCACTTTTTTCATCTTTTTTTTCTAATTCTCATCACCTAGCAGAATGCCTACATGTATTTGGCACTGAATGTTTGTTGAGTGAACAAAATATAGTGCCATCTTTCCATATACATAATGGAGGAGGGAAAAAATAAAATCCTCTTTTTCACAGGTGCAAAGCTTTTTGCGGGGCTGGCTCTGCCGGAGAAAATGGAAGACAATTATTCAGGACTATATCCGGTCACCTCATGCTGACAGCATGCGGAAAAGAAATCAAGTGGTATTTAGCATGCTTGAGGCAGAAGCTGAATATGTCCAGCAACTGCACATCTTAGTCAATAACTTCCTCCGTCCCTTGAGGATGGCTGCCAGCTCAAAAAAGCCTCCTATTACACATGATGATGTCAGCAGCATCTTCCTAAATAGGTGAGTGGTTTTTTTGGAGGGAGAAGCTTTCAGCAAGGAGCTCCTGGGTTTTTTCCAATCAACAACTACAGTAAAATGGGGACTCTGCTGAAATTTGCTTTTTCACTACAGACACATACACACACACACACACACACACACACACACACACACACACGAGTTGGTTAAGCAGACTGATCACATAAAGAAGGCTAACAGTAAGAAGGAGGAGATAATTAGGGAAACAAATTATTGTAACAATCCTTCAAGTAGCTAACAAATTATTCAATATAAACAATTTGTGTGGAATATAAACAATTAGAGACAATTCCTATCTATTCATGAATGTATAACATTATACCCTATGCATACTCAGAAATGATAAAACTGTGTTTATTTTTTAAAAATTCCATAATTCAGGCTTTTCAATTCAAACTTACCCTTCCCAAAGTTGTTATAAATTATTATTCCATAATGCTGCATAATCATGGTTCTCCTCCTACCTTCCTGTTTCCTCTCTGTCTCCTTCCATGACTACTATTTTTTCTCTCACTAAATATGAAGGTACCTCAAGGTCTGCCCTCAATCCTCTTCTCTTCTCTGTCCACACTCTCTCATTTGGTGATTGCTTCAATTATTATTTTTATACAGATCACTTTAAGATTTGTATCTCCAGCCTAACTTTCAGTGCCACATTTCCAACTCTCTTGTTGTACATCTCTACCTGAACACTCCAGTCTAAAACTAACCAACTCATCTTTTTTCCCTTTACTTAATTCTTCTACTTTGTTTCTATCTATTTAATGGTACTTGTCATCTACTGCCTTGTATCATGCTTATTCTACATATGGCCTATGTCTCATACTAAATGATAACCATTCTGAGGGCAGACTGTCATTCATCTGTGTATACCCTGCAGTGCCTATAGCAGTACCTTTTATATATAAGACAGTCAATGAATATTTGTGTGAATGAATGAACAAATCCATCCCAAGGCTATATACATAGTATTTCAATACAGTGGAATCTTATGAGAGCTCACCTCTAGTGTTGTTGGTGTTGGTGCAAAGCACAGGGAAATAGGAGGAAGGAGAAAAATATTCCTTTCATTCTGCTATGAATACGGTACATATAATAATACCTAACACTTTTCTTCCAACATATTTCCATGAAGTTCCATGAGTGATAGCACATGCTCTGAAAGGCATCGGCAAAGTCAAATTTGATGGCTCACCTTATCAATTGCAAAACACTAAGGTGGCCACCACAAGGCTCAACCCATTGCAAACCGGCAGAAATCACAATGTAGGGCATTGTACCCAGTCAGTAGCAGAGCACAGCCTGAGCTGACTAATGATTGTCATCCAAGTAACTAGAATGCCCAAAGCAACAATGAAGTACTGCTCTCCCCGGTAATGGGGATACTTTAGCACCAGGAAAATCTGAAATGTGATCATGCTGTTTATATCTCTACTGAGCTGGCTCCCTCCTGTCCTGTTCCCACCAGTATGAGCTTGAACATGCTTCAGAGAATCAATATAGTTCACATATCAGCCTGTAGGATAACTTGATGAGGAAATTAAGGAAATGGGCACCCTTTATATTATAATAATGTAATGTAATTTAATGCTACAAATACTAATCAAGTATATGCCACGTACAGAAGCCGGGAACAGTACTAAATCTGAATAAAATGTGGTTCCAAGGAGGTTACTATCAAATAGGGAGAGGGAAAAATATGGCATCCACATAGATAAATAAAATACACATTACAAAATGAATGTTTCAGAGCATTACAAAACAAAATGCTATGTGCAATCCAAAGGGGAAAGCCATGATTAACCAGGGAAATCCGATAAAGAATTCTGGAGAAGAAACTGTTTGAGTTGAACTGTATAGATGGATAGGAATTCCAATAAATAAAGAAGATGGAGGAGGATATCCCAGATGTAAGGATGAGCCTTACCAAACACTGGAAGACAAGAGAGACACATTCAACAGAGAGTTGTCTGGTTTGGTTGGAGCATTAAATGCATGGAGGGAAATTATATGAGATAAGACTCCATGGGGGTGGGGGTTACCAGGTTAGGAAGGGCTATGAATGTCAGGCTGAGTTGAAACATTACTTGGTAGTTTGCTCTTTAGCTTCCTACTTTCGTGTGACTGTTTTGCCCAAACCTGAATTGAGTAAGAGTTTAAATGTCTGGATGGTGGAAGGAGAAAATGTAAAAGGCAGGTAAGTAGAGGGTGGGAAAGAAAAGGACTATGAAATTGGAAACCCCTTAGTATGTTTTTTTTTAGAGTATTGCTCTGCCTACCCAAAAATGAAATACCTGTGATGCTCAGGCAGGACAAAGGGTAAACTAATTTTTAGCTGGCACATGGTAAATGGGCTTAGCCTTTATTCAGAGAACATTTCCATTAAGAAATCCAGATGGACTTACAAGCAATCAGTTTCACCCTGGAATTTTCTTCCCAACTTGTTATAAAAACTCATATATGCCTTTTGTCCAGTCTCAGAGACCTCCAGAAAAGGGGTTCCAGGCCTTTTCCTTGCAAACTGTGCAATAGATTCAGTGAAAAAGTAAGAAGGTGTAGTGTTCTTGGCCCAAATAGGTCAGGTTAGTAATATTTCCTAAATGCTGCTATGTCATGGTTCATTTCTCAAAGTGCTACTTGTCACTACGGGGAGTGGGAGGTGGGGGGCAATCAGCCAAGACTTATAAACTCCTTCCAAGGCATCCCCATAATGTTTAGAGTCCTGAGAGTGTGGAAATCTGAAAGATTAGCCCTGGAGGTCACACCGTGACCCTGTTTTTTGTAGCTCCACATTCATGTCTAACTGTTCTACCGTCCAGCCAACATCTTCCACCTCATTAATACTTTCCCTGTACTATCATCGTTTCATTTTCCTCCATAAATAACTTTTATTTATGACTTTCTAAACACCAAAATCATTTCCCCATATGCCTCTCCCCCTGAAACCTCTCTTGTAATAAAGAAATGTATAAGCAAAATCCAACTTACAAAGCAAATGCTTCTGAAAATATATGCAACATTCCTCATCCACCTCTTCAGCAAGACTGGAGAGACATGTTTCCTTCTCTTTTCTCTAGATCCAGAATGGATTATTGCAGTTCATCTGAATTCAGCATTTCAGTGTCGTTTTTGTTTATATTACAGTAGTAATTGTGCATTCTTTTGGTTCTGTTTGCTTCACTCTCCATCTATACAAGTCTTCCTATGATTATCTGAATTCCTTTCATTTGTCATTTTTTATGTGCAATAATATTCCATTACATTTCTATACTACATATTCAGTCATTTTCCCCTAATTGGTATTATTTCTGAAAGCTCCCTCTACCAGAATCAAAATTCCCAATCAGGATAAGAATTGACAAGCTTTTTTTTTGTAAGGCAATTGCGGTTAGGTGACTTGCCCACGGTCACACAGCTAGTAAACATCAAGTATCTGAGGCTGGATTTGAACTCAGGTCTTTCTGACTCCAGGGTCAGTGCTCTATCCACTGCTCCATCTAGCTGCCCCTTGACAAGCATTTATTAAGCACCATTATATGCCAGACACACTGAATGAAGGAAACATCCTTTAAGTATTTGCTATAGGCAAAGCACTCTGCTGAGGGCTAGGGATATGAAAGGAGCTCACATTCTAATGGGGGAGACAACCCACATGGAAGATTTTAGCTACAAGTCAAATGGAAAAGTCTCATGCTCAATGAGGAAAGAGGAAAAGCAGGTGTTAATGCCTCTTTTTTAATGTTATTTCCACTGATAAAATGATATTATTTCTGATGTCGAACCATTGAACAGTGCCAAGGGTTTTGATGGCAAGAATTTTTTTTTCTGGGTCTTCAATAGATGTGGCTATAGCACCTGTAGGAGCAATTGTCAGGCTTCCTCTCCACAGGATGATGTCTGAGAGCACTGGGCTGAAAGCATTGAGATTCCCAGGGCTCTTGGGTTCAGGGAACTGGGCTATCCTCATCAGAGTCTGAGGGGAGATGGTGGTCATGTTGGTGGTAGTGGTGGTCTGTCTTGTCTGGCACATGCTGCCCCTAGGTAGGCTGGTTTACCTGTCCTATGTCGCAGTTGGTTGGTAGTTGGTGGGAAGGGCTGGCCCTTTCTCCACAAGAGTTGTTTCCCAACTGATAGCTGAGTGAAGAGCAGGACTGGTGGTTAGGGGGGTGCTACCACTCCCAAGGCTCCCGTGCCAATTTGCCTGTTGTTGGTGGCAGCACCACATGCGAGGCATATAAAGTCAAAAATGAAACAGCCTCTGCCCTCAAGCAGCTTCCACGTGGGGACAGCAGGGGACAAGGGAAAGGAAACATGTACACAGGTAAGTAAGTATCAGCTAAGTACAAAGTAAAGGCAAAGTAATTTTGGAGAAGGAAGTCAGAGAGCACTCACAACTAGTATAAACAGGAAAAACCTTGTGTGAGAAGTAACACATGAGCTGAGCCTCTCAGGGTTCCAGGGATTCTAAGAGGCAAAAACGATAAAGGAGAGCATTCTAAGTGTGTGGAACAGGCTGCCCAAAACCGAGGAGGAAGAAAAGGAAATGTCATATCAGCAAATAGGCTAGTATGACTGGAGCATAAGAGTGCGAAGGGAGTAGGAAGTAATAGAAAATCAGCCTAGGAAGCTAGGTTGTGAAACGCTTAAAATGGCAAACAAAGGAGCATATATTTTATCCTAGAGACAATAGAGAGCCATGGAAGCTTCTTGAGGAGAAGAATGACACTTTAGGAAAACTCTAATTGTTAAGAAGTTTTTCTTAACCACATCAAGACAAATTTTAATTCTTTGCAACTTCCCACCTATTTGCAGAATATCCCCCTCCCCAAAACTCAGTCCCTCCAAAACCATAGCGTCACAGCCAACCAGTCCTCCAAGAGGCCCCAAACATCCCCTGCAAGGGGTTGTTCCTACCCTCGCCATGATAAGGGCCTCTTCACCCCCCAGCCCAGCAGGGGATCCATTTCAGACCACAAAATAAG